ATTTTACTCAAAATAAAAAAAAATTTAATGAAACCTTTTCTTTGGTAAATACATCCGGATTATTATTTAAATGTTTTATTTTACTCAAAATAAAAAAAAATTTAATGAAACCTTTTCTTTGGTAAATATATCTGGATTATTATTTAAATGTTTCATAGCTGATAATGCATCCTGATGGCTCAAAAAATTGACGAAGCCAAAACCTCGAGATACGGCTTCTTTAGATGCACTTAATTTGCTTCTATCTCTCCAAATCCGACACTAAAAGTACTAATCAGATACCGATGTAAATGTACTTTCGATTTTACTGAACTCAATAACGCAGGAAGTGATGGATGTAATATATCACAGGTTAATTGCTTGATGTTGGGAAAATCCATAGAAAGATGGACAAAAATGCCGAGATGTGCTTTGACAGAGCCAAAGCATAGACTGAATAATTTAAAAAACCAATATATTTATATTTTTCAAATTTAAAAACATACTTCATTTATTTTTGCATCTGGATTGCCAGCTGCAATGAAACACATCGATCTAAAGGCTTTATCAGTTAAAGATTTTGGTAAATTATGAACAACCAAACGCGTCGGAGAGACAAACCTGCAAGTTCAGATTAGTCAATTGCAGTATCGCAACTATATAAGTTCTGAATTTTATTCTTTTAACTTTTATTAATCTTGACGTAAGCTGGTAATAAGAATAGACTCATTCAGGAGATAAAACAGTAGCTTTCGTAATGAGCTTGCCAAATAAGTTCCAACTGCCCGATTTCCCATATACTGTTAGAAAAAATTTTAATCTATAAATTAGTATTTCATATATTAGCTTTCATATATTAATGAAAGAGATAATGCAAAAAAAAAGATGTATATCAAAAATCGTACGTCCAAATCAATGATAAACAAAAACTTGCGAGATTTTATACCGCCGGCATAATGAAACTCAAAAAAAACATACATATGAAGGTTCTTTAGCTTTTCTCGTGCAGCCACTGCTAAACGTGCACGCTTATCGGCATCTAATTCACTCATACCCGCTGCAGCAGTTGTACCAGGTCGTATAAAGCCAGCACGTAGAAGAAAAAGATTTCGTTTATCTTTTGGCTTTCTTGATAGTTTCTCCTTAAAAAAAATGACACATGTTACAAATATAATATATAATAGAATAATATGTAAAAAGTATATTTATCAAACGGCTGAATAGACCATGCCTTACAAAAATAGTTTGGAAACTAGCTTAGAAGAAACATGATACTGTCATTCACCATTTGAAAAACTGTCAATCATGAGCAATCACGATTGAAAACACCAATTTAACTTTTCTCATTACTATCTCCAGTATTGAAGCCAACTCGATACCTTTTCAATTTTTGCTGCTTCACTTCTTGGTAATGCCTTATGACCGAAAATTCGACGACCATCAATTAAAATACCAGGAGCCTGAAACATCACTACTAAAATCTAATAACAAAACGGCAAAGTTGACCTAGAACTCAAGCAACTAACACGATCTAATACTGAAAGATACAGATCAATTAAATCATAACATGATTTCTATCAGAAATCAACAATTTAACTATTCCATCTAAATTTAGAAAATAGTCATGCAGTTCACCTGATCCATGGCTAACAGACATTTTTCCGCCCCATCAGCTGTTTCGAAATGTACAAAAGCAGTTCCCTTTGGGTGTTCACTGCACGTGTAGCAACAAAGAATTGCCAATGAAATGTTTCCAAACTTCGACAAGACTTCCTTCAACGTTTTATCTGTTGTTTCGTATGACAAATTTCTAAAACAGATATTCTAGAACAAAATTTCAAAACTTTTTTTTCAAAAAAAAAAACGATCCGAGAGATGAATCTGCACAGCCAATTCCAATTCTGTCATGTTCACTATTACGACATAATTACTTCTTCGAAGAGGAACCATAACTTTCTAAACTGCCTCTCACTACAGTTTCACCAAAGTACCATGACTATTAACCTGATGAATACAACACGTCCTTCCAATACTGCTTTATCCTCCTTGAATTCTCGTCCATTTTGTTTTTCCTTTTTTTCAACCTCGTTAATACTCTCACCAGATAAATTTTCGTCCAATACTTCTTTCTTGATTCTGCTGTCATCCCTTTCTTCCTTTTCAACAGTACTGCCATCGTCTGACTCAATCTCTTGTTTGATTTCTTCCTTAACTTTTCGATTCCCTTGTTTATCTGGAAATAACATGAATTTCAGAAGAGGACTACTTTAATAATTTAGTTGTGAATTCTATTCCATATGAATTACTCAATCTAGCATAGCTAGGTAGAACTAGTTTAGCATTTTATTGAAACTCAATTCAAATAAATCTTAGAAAACATATGTCCATGAACCTTTCATAAAATAACAATAAGAACAAACCTTCATGTACTGCTGTTTCGTAGATATCTTTTGACAAAGCCCAGTCGATCGCGATTTTCCTTCCAAGTATCTGAAAAAACCTCTTACATTTATCTTTTTCTAAAAAATGACAAATTTTTCGAGAAAAATTGCTTTTAGATAAAGCAACAATCTAACAGAAGAGTGTTTTAATTAACCTCAGACATATTTAATTTCTCGATAGACTTCATAGCATCTTGACGTTTTCGAAACTGAATAAAAGCAAAACCAGCACATGAATTTGGGAACCGTTTATCTTTGCATTTTGGCAAAACAATTTCACTGAATGGACCAATATTACCAAACACCGTTTGCAGATCTTCCTGTGTCGTCTGAAAAATAAGAATAAAGGAGTGAGTAAGAATGTCTTTCATGTAATATAATCTGCCTCTTTTATACCCAAGATTTTAAGCTAGGGAAGAGTGTATTTGAAGGGATCAATTATGCGATGCTGAAAAAGAGGTCACAAAAAGCTAACTACATTGTGAAAATTATTATAATATCCTTAATGGAGAAAAAATATCGTCAATAACAAGCAGCAATAAAAATTGTGCGTAATTTCTAAATTTTACAGAACTAAAATTAAAATTTAAGACGTTTACCTTAAACGGCAAATTGCGCACAATCAATCGCCACGATTTGCACCGCGGATCAAACTTAGCACCATTGTCATCTCGAACACATTCTTCCGTTTTTTTCACATTGAATTTGGAAGTACTCCGTATTTCACTCTTCCCACCCCGCATCTTTTTAATATTCCCGAAATTTTTAGAATTTCGTTTTTTGCTTGTTTTGGCAATCATCTGTGAATGAATGTTATTAAGATCATTTAAGAGTAGCTACAAACTTGAAAGTCCTCAAGATATCAAAGTAAGTAGACGATCTCAATCTAAACTCACGAATCAGTCATTCGCTTCGATTGACCATCTAATTAAGCTAATTAAACCCCCAGTTGTCGAGAATATCTTTTCTTCATGAGCCATTTTAACGTTCTTCAGCTTAATTATAACAGTCTCAGGTCACTTCTTTTTTCTACAGTCACCATTAAAATTCAGTGATATATCAATGTCAAATGAGTAGTAAAAAATTTCAGAGTACAATTAATTGAAAAGTTCGCAGAGATTAAACATGACATAAAAACATTTGCAGATCCTTTCGAAATAACACTGTACGGAGACAACCAACCTTTACCAAAAGGCCTTTTATCTCTCTTGCACCCCACCTCTTCCTCTCCGTTAATATAAAATATACGTAAAACTTGAAGCCAGATTTAGAAACTAATCAAAACGCGACATCGTGCTGGGCCGCGTTATTAAATTAGTCTTTACTTGAATATGAGAATTTAGCAGAATTTAACAATTTAATATTTCAGGTGGCAGAATTCATTTCTAAATAGGTCTTGCTTAAAGTAAGGAAGGTTCATACTTCTCGTACGTAGCAGTAATAATATTGACATTGCTATTATCATTGCTACGTACGATACTGATAGCAGGCAGTGATTGTAATAGAAGAGTCGAATATTTTTTGGCAGAGAAAAGAAGTAATGATTGCTAGAATTCATTTTGGAACAAATTTATGCATTGCATCCTTTGTGTTAAGCATGAATAATACTGTTCCAGAAGATATAAATTGATTACTTTGAACTTTTTTTCCTATCAATGTAGAGGTGTGGTACTAAGTATATAAGCTTATTATGTATGTCATCATGTGGTATTTATTGCAAGCACTTCTGAAAGAAATATTTGCAGAATTAATTTTGGACTTTCGGCTGAACATGGGTGTTTTAAGCTTAAAAGTCGAATTTTCCGGTGGTGCGGAATCGTTATTCGATATGCAGAAAGAATTTGATATTCGAATACCAAATGATTCAGGGCCGTTGTTTGTTAGTGATTTGCTGCGATATATCAATGTTAACTTAATACCGGATAAATCAAGATCTTATCTACTGCTGGATAAGAGCGGCGAAAATGTACGACCTGGAATATTAGTGCTTGTTAATGATGTGGATTGGGACTTATTGCAGGGGCCTAAAACAATCCTGGACGATGGTGACGTCGTTTCATTCATCTCTACTTTACATGGCGGATGAGATGGCTTACTTTTGTTCATGTCTGTTTAATAAATGTGTGCTTGAATTCAGTTGAATTTGCACATTGTTCGCTTGATACTTATTATTACGGGTCTTAATGTATGAAGAATCCGAGATTATTCGTTACCATGATGTGCATATCTATGATATGTATAACACGGTCAATGTCATATTGTATTAGTGTGGTGCATATCAGCGCTGCCGTGTAGAACATTATTTTATTAAGAGGAAGCTGCAGAAATATTTCTCTTTCAAAGAAAAAATATTTGAGACATTTTGAACATTTTCGTAAATAATAAAAGATCAACAAAAAAAACTGCTTGGTAATACTGGTTTAAAATATTCAGCTGGAATTCAAAATCGAAGTTTGAAAACTCATGTTCCTTGATAAGTTTCGTTCTAAAACGCGTACATTTTCTGGTCCAAGAACAAAGGAAATTTTTTTCCATAGTTTTTGTTATATTTCTACATTCTATTTAAACTTATAAAGATAAAAATACGAAAAACTTGGGACGCCTTCGAATTATTTGGCAAACATATCTATATTATATTTTTTTGCACAGCTTTTGATTGAGGTTCTAAAACATGAAAGGACTGCTTTTTTTTTACTTGGAACTTGAAAAGTTGCAGCAAATACATGAAATCCCTTTTTAAATTCCATGAGAGCAACAACATCATCCACCTAGTTATAATAATCTTCCTGCACGTGCTTTAATTCGTTTTCTTGATTCGCTTCCCAGTTGTTGTCAGAATTTCTTGCTTCAGGTTTAGGAATATGAAAACCGATAAAAAATTGATAGGAATATACACCAATCACAGCACCCACAATTGGTGCCAGCAATGGAACGATGAAAAAGTATTGATGGAAGCTGAAAGGATGAGTTATCAGAAAAAGATGCAAAAATATTGGGAGAAGAAATTAAAATTTAAGGGAAATTAACACACTAACGTAAAAAGTCGGATGCCATAACCACTTAAAGAGGCAAAAATTCGTGAGCCAAAATCGCTAGCCGGATTAACCGGAGAGCCCATATTCAAGCCACAACACATCGAAATGGTTGTTGCGATTGTACCAAAGAGGACTGGCATCAAATTTCTCGGTATTTCATTCTTAGGTTCGCAGCAAAATGCAACGAAAATGCCAATCAGACTAGTGCCAGCCATCTAAAACTGTAAATGGAACGTGGAGGCCACAAATAAAAGTTATTGTATCCGATCAATATTGCTACTGTTCATTATTGCTTGGAGTGTTACTGAAATCTGCTTGCCAAAAAGACAAACCTGATCAATAAAGGCACCAATATTGGAAAGGTAAGCCTGCGGGAATGATGCGAAAATTATTCCGGTCGCATTTGGCCCACTTATTGCTCGAATTCCTCCATCAAAGGCATTTATTGCTTCTGAAAATTGTGCGAATCATAAGGAAGAGTCCTGTCTATTTACCTTTCAGAGAATTGGCTTACCGCTATAAACAAAGTACATTATCCCCGCACCAAATGCTGCGCCGAGAGTTTGTGCAACGAAAAAGAGAAGACTGTGAGCAAAAGATATCTTTCCGAGGATCAATAATGCAGCCGTAACTGCCGGATTCACATGTCCACCTGGAAATTAGTCCAATTATATATATAATTTAGTGTACTCTATTAGCAGATCCCGTATCGCTGTAAAGCCCTAAATTTTCCGGCCAACCATGGCATTCTGAGGAGTCTGACAAGCTTTTCACGAAGCAACGTTTAACAGCACTGCAGACGATAAGTTATTAAATTAGACTGTCCACAAGATAGTTAGTGGAAGGACAATTGGAGATGAGGAAAAGATAAAACAGCCAAGGTCCGTAACTTTCCAAACACACGGTTGGCAGAATTTCAGTTTTCGTTTCAGCATTTTTCATATGCTTTCATGACCTGTTTCCCACATTCACTCGGGAATCAATCTCTGTAAGTTACCCGAGGTTTCCCATGCGACATAAACTGACAGTGTGATCGCTAATCCCCAGCCGATATTAATTTGTATCGGAGAATTCGATGTCCCTCGACTGAGTACGAATTGAGCCATCACTCCGGTACCGATGAACTGAATTCTTTACAAAATTCATTTCCTATTCCTTGCTCCTACTAATTTATATAATTAATCGGATGAAGTATATGCAACTTTCGAGAATGAACAGAAATGAACTGTAATCATTGAAATATAAACACAAACAGACATTACAAGTGCTAAGACTGTGATTTTTCTGTCGTTGGATTAAAGCTTTAAGAATGTTAAAAAAGTTCAAATATCAATGAAATTGAAATAGTGAACTGAAATACTCACTCTCAGAAGAGCGGTACCAAAAAATTCAGAAAGCAAATTACGAGCCAACTCGTTTTCCACACGTCCATATTTTTTGAAACGTTCCAAATGGTGCATTCTACCTGAAATGGTCAAATATGAAATTATTCATTCATGTTGTAATCGTAAATAAATGCTAAATTCTAAACAATTTCACAAATTTTTAGATAGTACCATCTCTCACTGTTTTGCACAATTACTTGGCCGGAAGACAAACAACACGCCAAATACGTGGGCCAGATGGATATATTTCAGATGCTAGATTGACGTATTTGATCTTTCTGACATTTTAGCGATCAGTGCCATCAAATGTTATTCAATAAAATTTGATGCGAAGGTCAGATTAAAATCATCAACTTGATGATGATAATTACGAAATCAAAAAATTTCGAAAAATAAAATTTTTTGAGGGCGTAATTGAAAATGTATTGGAAAAAGAAAGGAATAAATTACAGTCTTTGGTAACGATTTGCACTAATTTAACTGTAAGCGTATTGTTTAAAAATAATAAATGTTTGAGAAAAAGAAGTCGTCTAAAGAAT